AAATAATAATCGTCGCTATTGTATCGTTAAAAATTAGAAAATTAAGCCTCGTTTAAATACTGGCTCCCTTTCATGGTCAAATGAGTGTTGCCAGCTAAAACACGTAAAAATAATATTAAAGTAGCCAAGACATAGCCAAATATTGTAGCGCCACATCACTAGCAGACATTTGAAATTTGCGGACTAGGATGGTCGGTTAACCGAGGTGTCGGTTAATCGGGGTTGGATAATCGAGGCTCTACTGTATTCACAAGTCATTTTCTTTAGAAAAGAAAATATTTTAAATATATATTTTTTCTTTTTAAATTGATTAATGTTATGTTAAATATTTGTTTCTGTATTTGTTTACAGTTAGTTATAATTTTACTTACCTTTATAGTTCTATTAAGACATTCTCCAGCCATCAATCGCACATCAGAATCATTATCATCACAGAAGAGAAGAAAAGTTTCTACAGCTACACCAAGAAACTTTGGAAAATCTGATACTGATCTATATAAAAAAAATTTCTTCTTAGTGAAATTAAAAATTAAATAATAATAAATATAGTTTAAAACATAAAATTAAAAAAAAAATTGTAAAATATTTGCAAAAAAGTATAAATTTATTTTCAGAAGGAACAAATTAAGCTTTATATGAAATCAACATTTAAAATTTAATTTTCTATTGTGAACAGTTTAAGTAGTTTTCTCCATAAAAGAAAAAAATTACTATAACTAAATAAATTTAAATTTTATGAACTAAATATTTAATAAAAAACAAAGAATATAGACATTTATCAATAAAGACTAATAAACTTAAATAAATAAAAAAAATTAAAATATTGATTTAAAAATAATTTTTAATGGTCTTTTTGAAATTTAAAAAACAAACAATTTTCTTTTGACATTGTTACAATGCCAGGCTGCAATTTTAAATCCTATTTTTAATTTTTTAATTTAAGAGATATGCTCTCCACCTCAAATTAGTAGTGTCTTGTCCATCATACTTTTCCTGATAGCAATAGAGTTGTGCTGGTCATCTAACTCCTTTCAGAGAAAATTTTTCAATTGAAATAACATGACTTCTGGTTTGCACCAGAAGTTTGTATGTAGACAATCAAGGCTTCCCACTCTTAAGCTTTCCATATCTGGTCTCAAATTTCATCTACCTAACTCCATTCTCAAGATTAAAAAAGGACAGACAGACGACAGTAGGAATTTATAGGTCTATAACCTTTTCAAATTGAAGCCAAAAAATATTCACATATAAAACTCAATATTATTATCCTTTATATGCAGTCATCCCTTGAATTATAACTATTTTAATTTATAACCATTCAGATTTTCAACCCTGAAATACATGTTTAACAAAATTTTTGCAATAATTCGTCACCAGAGGAAATACCAGAAAATCTACATTTAACAGCGCTTTCTTCCAGTGGATATAAAGGCCTGAATTCCCAAATGCAACAGGATGGAAAACCTGAAGACGTCGTAAGATCCACCAGTTCCAATTTTTTAAATTTATATTTTTAATTGGATAATTTTTTTGGTGTTTTTAAGGAATGTTTTAAACTGGACAGCCAAATAGCCTATAAAGGAAGGTCTGGTTGTCTAAAGTTTTATTCTATAACATGTAATAAAATGGTGGTTTTCAAAAGAATTTTTGGAACAACTGTGTCTTTATTAACAAATAAAAATTTGCCATACAACGGAAAGTTCATCAAAAAACAATTATGATTTTTTTCAAGATTATGTGAGAATACCAGATGATATTTTTGTACTCTAGTTTTCTCTCCAATATACTTCAAGATGAACAAATGGCTTTCAATTGAAGAAAGGATAAATAAAGACAATTATGATGTTTATTTTTCCAATTATTTTATTGTACTGTGAGATCCGAAAGGCCCCTGGGTCTAATTTAATAATTTCTATTAATAATATTAAATATTGTCACAAAATATTCATTCGTTTTGTGAGGAAAAAAATACTGTTTTAACGTGGGAAAAGGCAGATAACAGATGTTACTTCCTTTCACAGAAGAGAACATCCTCTGACTTTCCCTTATCTGGTTAAAATCCAGCTCAGATGGGAAATGGTTACCCCTCATTCATCCCCCCTTTCATCCGTTCTCACGAAAGAGTTACTGGCCGATGATTGGTCGGTATTCAGAAGATATAGAGGGAACTTGTCTGAATTCGGGGAGTTCAGCGACAGATCCGAAAGCATCCAAACTCCACATACGTTTCCCTCCTGATGACCAACGTCCTCAGACGAGTCACATACGGAATAAGTCTAGAGTCTACACGTAGGAAATATACTTTTATATGTGTGCACGTATTGATCTCCCAGACGAAGAAGTAAATGAACTTGCATACAGAGAAGAAGACGAATGACATCTGAAACAGGTCGTATGTTTTATAACGATTTTTGTGAGCTCTCTCTCGATCGCAAATAGGGTATAATATAAGTTTAATTATCTCCTGATGTGTATATTAGTTGTAGTAGGTCTGTCTCTCATTTATCCACATTTTGTATGATTTAATTTTTTGTTCTATTAAATTTTATTATTTCGTTTTAATTAAAAATGACTTTTAATTGCGTGACCGAATTAGATCGCATACGCGTGTTAATCCGCGTATAATAAGATTGATTAACTGGTGTCAAGGAATCCTGACGAGCATCTGAACTTCGCAGTTCGGATCATATAGCGGTTATCGCCCTCCTATAAAAAGTTACGAGAGCCGATCTCACAATCGCGCGCCGTAAGTGTCGTAGACTAAGATCTACGTCCTGGCTGATCTCACAGTACACACAAAAATTGTTTTTTGAAATAAAAGAAATAAAGACCATTTATATTTATATAATTTGTTTTCATCATCATTGTTATATGTTGGGTTTAGTGAATTATACTTGGTTGATACCAATGGCTGTGTACTATGCCAGACCAAAGTCAAGGCATAGTAACTAAAACAAGACAAAAATTAACTAAGTGTGTCAGTGTGTGTGTCTGTATTCAGGTATTTCCTAACAATATGACATACATTCAATATAGTAGCTTTCTATAGTGTGATGTATGTGTTTCTATTCAATTGTAATGTTCCCAGACTTTTGTGTAGTGTTTGTGGTAGTATTATGGCTCTGTTGTAGTACATTTTGTGCGTATTGTTTTCCAATACGGTCTGTGGAATGTATTTGTAGTATGATTCGTGGATGTCTAATAATTTGTGTTTCTTTGCAAGCTCTTGGTATATTATATTTGCTAGTTGATTATGTCTGTGTAAATAATCTGTCTGTGCCAAGAGCTTGCAATCAGAAGTAATGTGTTGTATAGTTTCTGGCATGATGTGACATTTCCTGCATGTGTCATTTGTGAGTGTTGTACCTTTGAGTATGTGTTTTCTGTAGTTTTTAGTATTTATGACCTGATCCTGTATGGCAATCATGAATCCTTCCATCTCCCCAAAGAGGCATCCCCGAGCTAACCAGCAGTTTGATGCAGTTTTGTCAACAAAATCCTGGGACAGGTCGAAGGGATGCCTGCCATGGAATGCCTGTTGAACCCACGATTGCTTAATGGTGTCTATGCTTTTTATATGTTGTGTCATGTCCATATTTTGCGAGTGTAAATTTAATGGTGCGTTATTTGAGTCTGCTAGAGTTACTGCTTTATGTAACTGTGATGTTTCTTGTTTCTTGTAGAAAAACTCTCGCAGTGACTATTTGTTTATAGTGAAGGCTTATAATGTCAATCAGGCAACGTCCGCCATCTTTACATGGAAGGATTAATCTTTCTATGGTGGATTTAAGATAATGTTGTTTAAGCTTAGTAAGTGTTGTTCTTGTTTTCCTTTGGAGTTGCTCAAGATCTGTGTGAGTCCAATGTATAACTCCAAAAGAATATGTGAGTACTGGGATGACATGTTCATTGCTTTAACTATGTTCTATGAATAGTATTTAATGTACTTTGGTATTTTTTAATTGATCTTTGCTTTATTTGTGTATGTTCTGTTTGTTTGGCCTGTTGGAATCCTAAATACTTGTAGAACTCATCCTCTTCCATGGATTCAATAATATCTCCATTTCCAAGTGCAAAATCTTCTTTCTTCATGACTCCTTTTTCTATGTGAAGTGTTTTGCATTTGTCTAGGCCAAACTCCATTCCTTGTATGTCCTTGGTGTATGAATGTGTGATTTGTAGGAGTCGATGAAGTTGTTTTTGTGTGGATGCATAAAGTTTTGTGTCATCCATGTACATGAGATGTGACAGTGTAAACTGCGTTGTTTTTCATGTCTGATATTGTAGCCATATTGCATGTTGTTTAACATGTTGGATAATGGGTTCAAGGCTAGGCAGAACCAGAGAGGACTCAAGGAATCTCCTTGAAAAATTCCTCGCCTAATGAATATTTCGTTTGTTTGTATGGAAGTGTTACTAACCCTGAGATGTAGTGTTGTTCTCCAGTGCTGCATAGTGTTTTCGAAGAATGCAATGAGTGATGGATGTATTTTGTACATGTGTAGAATATGTAGCAGCCAACTGTGTGGAACACTGTCGAATGCTTTTCTGTAGTCTATATATGCCATGTGTATGTTTCTGTGTTGTTTGTGTGCTTGCCGTAGAATGACTGAATCTATGAGTAACTGTTCTTTGCATCCCCTGTGATTTCTACGGCAACCTTTTTGTTGTTCTGTAAGAATGTCGTGTTCTTCAACATGTTTGTATATTTTGTTTGTGATACAGGATGTCAATAATTTGTAGAGTGTTGGAAGACATGTAATTGGTCTGTATTGTGTGGGGTCTGTGGTTTTGTTGTTTTTAGGTTTCATGTAGGTGATGCCCTGAGTAAGAAATTTTGGCATGTCTTGTGGATTGATGATGATGTGTGTTAGATGTTTAGCTAGTTCCTGGTGCAGTGATGTAAACTTTTTGTACCAGAAATTGTGAATGTTGTCTACACCAGGTGTCTTCCAGTTGTGTGTTCTGTTAACAGCGTAGCGAATGTCGTGTATGTTTATTTCAGCACAGGGCATAGTTGGTATGTTATGCAAGTTTCTGTTCTCCTCCTCGATCCAGCCTGCATCAGCATTGTGTGTAACAGCATTGGACCAAAGAGAAGACCAATAAGTTGTGAGTTCTTCTTCTGTTGGTGTGCCACTGTGCTGTGTATCAGTGTTTGTTTTGGTACTGATTTGTCTGTAGAAAAGTTTTTCATTGTTTGTAAATAATTTATTTTGTTGTTTTTGTAGTGTACATGTTTTGTATCGTTTGAGTCTATGTGCTTTGGCTGCGAGTTTCTGTTTTAGTGTATCGATGTATTCTGTAATGTGTGTGTTGTGATGTTCATGTTTTGTGTGTTTTGATTTTCTTGAAAATGTTTTTGAGTTGTTTCTTTAATTTGGGTGTTATGTTGTTTTTAGTGTGTTGTGCCTAATTGCTGTCTAATATCATTTATTTGTGTTTCTATTCTTCTCTGCCAGGCAGGCTTTTGGTAGAATTGTGTTTTGTACGTGATTGTATTTTCAGACCATGGTGTGTCGCTACTGTGACTGCCCCAGCATAAACTAATGTATGAATGCCTGAGAATGTAGAAATTTAATGAATGTCGTGTGGTAGTAAGAGAGGGTTTAAAAAATTTAGTTTTTCTTACTATCTTTAATGTGTTTATTTTTGGTATTTATGTGGGATCTGTACCTCTATATTTAGTGAGTGTTTTCTGAAATAAAAGTGAAAGCATATTAAATCTATATCTATGTTATCAGTGATGGATGAGGAAGTGCTTGTAGTATCATTAGTGGTAGTTGTATGTGTGTTATCATCAGTGCTTGTTGCTGGATTATCCTGATAGGTTACGTGATTTTTATTAATGTTAAATGTTTCTGTCTGTTGATGTATTTGATCAGCAACCTGTTGTTTGATAAGTCCAAGTGTTGTTTGTGGGATAAGGTTGTTGTGTATAATTGTTCTTTTTTGATCAACAACCCCTTTTTTTGGTGACAGTGAGTAGAACATATTGTTGTGTGAATCTATGGTGTAGTTGTCTGTATGTTGTTGTGTTTGATTCAAATTTAGTAATGGTGTAGTAAGTACAGATAATGAACTCATTCATTTCTATTGTCCATTTCATCAGTTTTTCACAGACCACAAAGACATGGTTTTCCAGTCTTTGTGGTCTGTGGGTGCATTGCCATAGAAACACCAAGAGTAGATTGGTTCCTCACAATTGTCGAGGGCATTACAGTATTCATGCTTGGGCCAGTGCTACTTTCGCCACCAGTAACCAAGGAAGACTTTGGCAAATTTTTGAAATGTAAACCTCTAACTAACCCACAAATGAGGACCTTGTTAACCCAGGTGACATCTGAGCTGGTATCACACTTAGACCTGGTTACTACCATGGTAAATATCTCCACAGAATGTGGCTGTGATCACTCTTAGCTTCATTTCTCCTCATAGACCTTACTGGCATGCGTGTCTCTACCAGGAGCTTGTGCTCCAGTCTGCATAGCTCTATAGATCAGTAAAATTATTGTGTTCTCCCACCACAACTATGTGGTGACCACTATTATTATTTTTTTTTTTTCCAATTTGTATTTGTATGTCCTCGATATTTTTGCATAAAATTCAACTTAAAATCAAAACTGTAATAAAATGTCATCTTAGTCAAGAGATATTTACATTGTTAATAATAAAAAATTAAGCTGCATCCACACAATGTTACTTCTCTTGTGAGAGTATCTATCACAAGAATACTCAATAGTAAACTCTTCTGATAGCAAAGTGTTTACATGCATGCAGAAAGCAATGCAATAGTTTGATAGAAAAATATACATACTTCAAATATAGCTAATTTCACCCTCAATTTTTTAATTGAAGAACATTCACTGACTAGAAGTAGAGCTTCTGCAACATCTTTCTTTGATGGTTTTAAAGTCTAAGTTTCATTCATCTCACAGGAGCAATGTCACACTAAAATTGTAGGTACTCTCACAAGAACAGATTAAATTCTGTTTACAAGGCAAGAGTTTCAGAGTACTCTTGCAAGAATGTTTTCAATTATCTAGCTCAGTCTGATAGTTGAGATTACTTCTCTCATAGTGTACATGATGAGAGTTTAATAGTAATAACCATCACAAAAACAATGCTCACAGTCTATTCTCATTGTGTAAACAGGGTTTTATAGAAAGACATATTTGTTGCTTAGTAATAGTCAAATAGACATTTTAAATTCTATAAATTTGTGTAATTAAAAAAAATTGTTATCATAAACACTAAAGTCACAATGTGTAGTAATTCTGATATACCTATATGATATATTTTCTTGAATTTAAAAAGACACCATTAATATTCTAAATTGAATCATGACTTTGAAATTGAATTTGAAAACTCTCTCATGAAAAGAGTAAAATTTTAAAAAAATCAATTATTGAAAGTATAATTTATTTATAAAATTGTAAACTTCATTAAAATTTATATAAAAGTTGTATAGTAAATTGTAAAGTATAAGTAAATTGTAAACTGGATCTTTTTCAAAATTTATATAAATTTTGAAAAAGATCCAGTTTACAATTTAATAATATAAAGAAATTCTAGTAAAATAATAATCAGTTTCATCCATTCTCTAGAATACTTCTACTACCTAAAAAATGTTATCATTTGATATTTTTTATATCTCAATAAAATGTTTAAATATGCAAATTTTTATTTAAATAATTTTTTAAAATATAAAATATTATCTATTTATAATAATAATACCATATTTACTTGCATATAATATGAGGTTTTTATTCATTTTTCACTGCTTCAAAAACTTAAGTCATCCTATACACGAAAGCGAAGGATTCTTTGTGTTTTTGCAATAAGTTTTTAAACCAGGTATTTGCATTTTTTACCAGATGCTTGCCCTCTGGTGTTTAAAAACAAAAGTATTTTATCTGGGTCATTTGAATCATTCTTCTGTGTTGTCAGGAGTAAAGATAAATAGCAACAGGAAAAGCAAAGCTTTTGAATTGAATTCAAAATTGAAATTCCAAAATCACACAGCAGCCCGATATAAGTTTTAATCCATTCCCATGTGAAAACAGATGATTAATCAGAAATTGGAGAAACTCATAAATGTAATTGGAGAGTGGATTCGACTGTTAAGAATTGGCAAAAAAGGTTCTGATTGTCCAGCTTTATGTGAACAAATTATGTTGTCAATTTTACAAGATTTTTCTTTAAAGTTTAAAATGCCAGTAAATTTTGCTGGACAATGTGTGCATTTATGTGCATTTGATATTTTATTTGTGATTAAACAAAATAAAATTAGAATTGTGTTAATAAATCTAATTTTCTTTATTTTGATCTTTAAAGTTACACTTCATTCTATATGCGAGTAAATACGGTAAATAAATAATTCCCTTTCATTTATTATAATACCGTTTTGTTAAAAGCAAGTGCATTGTAACAAGCATTCTGTAAAAGAATATTGAATATGACTTTAAAACAAAACACCAGTATATATTTTAAATATGTATACATTTAAAATATATACATATTTTAAAAGGTATATTAAATTTTAAATACACACAATTATAAATTTATAAAATATTTATTAATAATTTATGAAAAAGTTTTTACCTTATATTTGGAGAACATATAGTGTCAACAATAGTGTTGCAATGAGCTATTTTCTCTTTCTTAGTTGGTGGAATATCTTTTCTTCTAAAATAAAAAATTTACATGTAATACAATTAGTGAATGATGTAATTACTTGTATTATAAATGAGCATGTTTTAAAAAGTAATTTTTAACTCATTAACTCCTAATAGTTAGCCTCTTAATGCTCTCAGAGCAGGAGAAAATCCTACAAGAAAGGTTAAATTACTGCTAAATTTTTTTCAAAAACTATTTATATGTATGGGAGAAAAATATAAAAAGTAATCAATAGAAAATAAACCAGTTAAATCAAAACTTAGTTAATATGAAATCTTTTAGTTCAATTATTTGAATAATTAATAAATTCACTGGACATTAATTTAAATACTGTTATTAATTCTTACAAGAAAAACTTTTTAGTATGAAATTATAAACACTAAGAGAAGATTCATTCAATAAAATTTATTTATTTATTATTACTATTTTTTAATATAGTATGATTGCTGTTTATTCAATTTCTATGTATTTGTTTTCCTTTTAACTCCGGGTTCGCATAAGTCGAGGTATTACTGTATACAAATTCAAAAGTATAAGTAAGAAATTTACATTTTTATAGTATTTTTTATTATTTTTAAACAATCAGCCTACTGAAGAAAAAAATTATGTTAAATAAAAACATATTTATTGTTTCTCATTTACAATTTACAGATAAGTTATTTTATTTATGTGTTTTTTAGTGATTTTGTATCTCTTAAATCCATATAACAAATACAAAAAATGCTGATCAGTGTTACAAGTGAATGTATTCATCTGTATACTACAATAATGGAGATGAAATAATCATATAATCTCCAAGCTGTTTGTAGTATTCATCTGTATACTACAATAATGGAGATGAAATAATCATATAATCTCCAAGCTGTTTTGTTTACATTGACCTATAGGTGTATTTACTTTAATTGAAAAAGTACATGTAAAAAAATTTAGTGGACAAAAAAAATTTCTTAATTTAAACATTTTAAACAGAAGAACTTAAAACACTTTTTTAAATGAAAAATTCTTTTAAGAATGCGTCATTTCTGTTTATTTTCCAAATTTTTTTCTTCCTTACTTACAACAAATAATTTTTGATAGTTCTTTAAATCAAAATCAAACTTTATTATGTGCAGTCAAGTGCCAAATTTTAATTTTATTATACATTTGTTTATTAATATATGTATAATGTTAGCTGTATAGTTTAAATTATTGTTCCAGCAACAGATGGATATTATTGCTTTCATTCCCATTCAATATTTAAATGATTTTCATTTGAAGATAATTAGTAGGAATAAAATCAAAAATAGCAGGCTAGTGCTTTTATTGCCTCAACCATCTGGCCACCTATGTTTGTAAATAAAAGTATATTGCCAGCCATGGGTATCCACAGAAAATTTTTCAGAAAGGGCAAAGCTTGGAGACATAAATACATCAATAAATTTTATTTAATTATTTAATTTTTGGGTTTTTTAAGACAGATATAGCATCCCATGGTTGAGGGTGTAAGGTTACATATCTCAATCAGTTTTGTAATTATAATTTGGGAAAATTTTTACTCAATTCCAGGGAAGGGCAGTGCCCTGTTTGCCCCTCTGTGGATGTCCATGTTGTCAGCACAGTATTGAACAAGCAGCTAACACACTAAATAGCAGCAGCACTGGTAGCTCTAAATAGCTCGTTTATTGCTGAAAATCATCTGTAAGTTTTAATTATACTATATGTGTAATTCAAATCTCCACTATAAATTCCTGAAATATGTCTCAGCATTTAAATAAGTTATCTGGAACATATTTTCATTTTATTAGAAAATGGCATGTCATGTTGACTGCACCTAAAACAGTATCCACTAACAATACCAATTTTTACATTTATAAGTTTCATTTACTTTTCACTTACTTTTGTAAACAGGTTAACCTTTTATTGTGTTAAATTGGAATTCTCATTATAGTGGTATTCATTAAATTTAAACATTCTTACATTAAAATTGGCAAGAGTATTACAAATAAATTTGTTATATCAACATCTACTGTGATGAAATTTTACTGTAATTAGAAAATACTACTACTGAAAAAAATGTTTGGAATAACCATTGATGTTTTCTGGTATTAACAATTCTTTTAAGCCATTATTGCAATTTCATGTATGCTTTATTACAAAAATCAATTTATAATATAAATAATGATCCAATAAGCAAATTCTAAACAAACAAACACCATTTAAATGCAAAACAAAAATTTAATTCTGACAAACATCAACTCTGTAATATGCTTCTTGTCTAGTCTTGTGTTCAATTATACTAGCTCTATGACAGCTTTTCCTTTTTCGCTGGACTTATTACACCATCAGTCAGAAAGAGGACAAACTTTAGAAAATCAAATTATTTCCTCAGGGAAATAAAGATTTGATTTTCTAATTTTTCACTGAATATACAGTAAGGGATATGGTTTATAGATTCCAGAGAAACAGCATAGTTTTTACTATAGCTTACAGTGACTATAAACGAAAACGTTCAGTTCCCTTTTGTGTATGCATGTGGACATCCACAATGAATGAATTGAACGGAACGTAAGTTAGGTAATGAAAGTGAACTGTCTCATTGCGCATGTGCATGTACAATAAATGGATTGAACAGAGCATGCACATACACATCTGACAGACACACAAAAGTCCTAACATAAGCACTTCACCACTATAGTGGGGCATGCTGAAAGTAAAATGGTACAAGGCTTGTACAAGTAAGTTTAAAATCTTCTGCTTCCCATTTAAAATAAGCAAAACCTAGCAAATTAGGTATTGCATATGCAAATACTTAATATGCCTAGTAATTTGAAAATACAGTGGTACCTCAGGATACAAAATTAATCCGTTCCGAAACTGAGATCGTATCATGAAAATGTCGTAAGGTGAATAATTTTCCCCATATGATTACACATAAAACCAAATAATTCGTTCCAACACGAAAAATGCACTCAAATTAAAGCTAAGTAGTACATTAAAAAAAATAATACAGTAGAGTCTCGAAAACTCGGCACTCGATAACCTGGCAGTCTGGATAACTCGGACACACCCTGGCAGGGCAAAAAAATCCTTAGTTAATTAATTTTCATTACAGACAGCTTTATGCCTCATAAAAGTATTTTTCTGAGGTCTGTCTTATCAGGTAAATTACTGTACAGAGTGTATTCATTAATTTTCATTTTCATGTAGGCCTAGTAAAGGCTCTATGCCGTAAGCAGTTTATTCTCTGTTGTATTCTCAAGTAAACAATACATACAAGTACAGTACAGTATTTTCTGAGGAAACACTCATACTTATTTTTTTTAACCCCATTCCCGATAACCCGGCATTTTCACAAACTCGGCCACCCTTCGGTCCAATTAGGCCGAGTTTTCGAGACTCTACTGTAATAATAACTATAGTAAGGAAAACACTGAAAAATGCATTTTGTAGTTGTAAATATATAAATAACCATAATAGAATAATAATTGATTAAAAAAATGTAGTTTTATTTGCACTTTACCTTTGAGGATAGACGACAGTGGAGGTATAAACTGGTGGAGGAAGAGAGGGAAAAGGGAAATGATACTAAAACTTAACTTACATAACATAATGTAGCAATAACTTAAAAATAACTTAAAATGAAAAAAATTAGTGTTGTTTTATATATATATTTTTTAATTTTTATTCACTGCTTTTTGCTTTCTTTCCTTCACTTCCACTAGCACTTTCACTGGATAGAGGTCGCTTGGTAAAATATCTATCCAAAGAGGTTTGGCTTTGCCTACTTTTTAAAATGTTTCTAAAATTACTTAGGCAAATGTCATTACTCTGAGCAGCAATATGGCCAGTGTGAACCTTTTAGGGATGTTTCTTTTCAATAAAATCAGTCACTTTCTGATAATACCTCAAGATTTCCTTTATTGAAGCAAACACGCAGACTGAGACCGATGAACAGAAATGAATAAAAATGGCGCTGAGAACTAATGTAACGTCGTATGGTGAGTTTTTGTTCGTATCGTGGAGCAAAAATATGTTCGAATTTCATGTCATATCCTGAAAATTTCGTATGATGGGGCGTTCATATCCCGAGGTACCACTGTACCTAATCTAATGCAAAACTACTTAAACACCCAAAGCTTTGTATGTCTTAATTTCCACCAGTGGTTCCTGATATTGGCACTTGTAATGGCTCCATCAGCTAAACTGTCTGATGACAAAAAATTGTGTAATTGCATTGCTAAAGAATAAATGCTATCAATGTTGTATGGTCCAGAGAATAGGGTATTCATTATCTGCTGTAAGATATGGAAGAAATATACAACAAAAATTGTAAAAACTCAAAGCAATAAACAAAACTGGAACTATGATAACATTTGAAATTGGAATGTTACTTGAGTATCATTCCAATTTCAAATGTTTTCAAACTGAAGCTAGATTGAAACCTGACATACACTTATGAAATATGCCAAAAACATAAGTGTTCTTAATAAATGTGTTTCCTGGAAATGCAAGGATATTATAGAGATTTTCAAGTAATAACTCAATCCAAAAGTGGGCATCCACAGATAATATTTGAATTCAAGACAGAATGTTGCACCAAATTTGCAGCAGAATGCCGCAAGCAACCTTGAAAGCAACTAAATGCTGCTTGGTCTGAGATCAAGCAGCATTTAGTTGCTCAGCAGAACATGAGTCTCCTACAAAACGGTAAGAAATCTTATAAACTCCACAGATTATTCCTATAGGAAAATTAAGATGAAGACAAGGTGAGCCAAAATTCACCAACAAAAATGACTGTTGTGGGCCAAAACTGGACTATAGAATAAGAGTAAAGTCATCTTTAGGCATAAGTCAAAGTTCTACATCAACTATGCTGGTAACAGTTCAAATGTATGGTGAAGAAAGGTGAGAAGTATCAAGACAAAAATGTGTAGTGCTCTGCCACTTGTTGTTTGGTCCTGATGTATATACAGTAATACCTCGACTTACGCAACACATGCGTAACTTTATGCGAGCCCAAAGTTACGCAATTTTCAAATCTCGTCGATTCGTCTTTTGTTTGAGCGCCACACAACCCTTGATTACTCACTCCCATCACACTATTGTTCAGCTTACATGTTCGGATGTGTCGCGCGGAATCCACACATAGCTACAATTTATTTTGTGTTATTTATTTCNTTTTAAAAGTTTTCAATAGAAAATGAACTAATTTTGTAGGAATTTATTCAATTTAATGTTTAATGCTTCAATGATCAAAGAAAAAAACACAGTATCAATTCTTGAAACAACACCTGAGCTGTTATTTATGGAATATTTTATTGAATAAATTAATTATAGCTTAACAAGATGCACAAATTGTAAAGTGAAGTGCAAGTGAATAGTGATAAGTAACGAATGTGAGAAAATACACGAATAAAGAAAAGTATGCAGAGGATTTTCCTGTACACGAATTTGAATAATTGCGGAAGTTTATTAAGCGGTCCTTACTTTGAGGAATCGTCGCTGGAACTAGGCGACTGAATAACCTTTAAGGCGTCGAACGCTTTTATCAGTCTCTCCATGGTAGCCATGATTTATCAACAGTTTGTGTAATTTTTCCACCGAATCCTATGTATTTAACATGGTTCGAGCATCACACGTATCTCTTTACTCCATTTTTATACGAATGTTTTGGTTTCTTGATTATTACACGGATGGCGACAGATGTCGCTTTATAAATTTAAAAAGCTAAATTATCGAAATTTTATTTATTAAAAATTATACAAAAGCCTCAAACTTTCTGAAAATTATATTATTTTTAAGTGAAATTAAATAAGATAATATAAACAAGGGAAGTAATCAGAAATTTGTTAAATATTTTTTTTATAAAACGCGATTTTTATGTTTATTTTTAACCCAGGTGTGAGAAGAGATTTTTTTATTTTTCTTGTTTGGTCTTCTCGTCTTGGTTGGAGTGATTGCGGAGATATGAAGAAGGCATGTGTGTAAGAAGGAAGGAAGCCGCACAGAATTCAGGAGAAGGACTATAATCCAATTCCATTTAAGGACTATTAAGAGAATAACGGAGACTATTAAGAGAATAACGGAGTGAAGAGAATCGGAGAGGAAGTGGAAGCGTCTGAAGGATCGTCCTGAACAATTATTTTTCTTCATGAGCGATAACTGTCAGGTAGATGTCCCTGTCCAAGTATGGAATTTTGTGAGTTCATGGGTCTCCCTGAACCTTTACCTGTTAAATATTTTTTGTTTAACCATCATTACGCATTAATGTGGGGGATCAGAGAGTGAAGGTACGTGCGCTCTTTGTTCGTGGAACACGTGAGAGGAAAAGAGCTCTGTATTAGAGGTTGTATGAGTCCTTTTGTTTGCTGAGCATGTGTTTGTTCTAAATAAATCATTTTTGTAAGCCAACTTGTTGTTAATTGTAGACTAGTAGACTTAGGTTTAGCTTAAGGGTCACAACAAATGTAAAACAAAATCAAATTTCCTTAGTCCTTCATGATAAGGGCATATATTTCAGCATGAGGACTTGAAAAACACTGCATTCTTAATATCAATATGAATGCATAAGTCTTTATGGAGATGTTGGAAGGACTTCTTATCCCAACAATTGATGACTAGTTTGGAGATGAATATCTTCCACGAAGGCAACGCATCATGCCACAAAACAGTATAGAATTCTTCACTCAAATAAATTTAAAAAAAGACGAAATGGCACTGAATAGTCCAGATTTAAATCTAATTTAAAATGCATGGAATTTATTGAAACACTTTATGAATTCTCAACATCCATCAAACAAGAAAGGGCTAAAGAATTCTATTTAATCTTGCCTAGAGTAACATCAGTGCAGAAACAAGTAGAAACTTGTGGAATCTTTATCTAAAAGAATTACAGCTATAATAAAAGCCAAAGGAAACCATACAAATTATTAAATACTGATTTTATATTTTATATTTGTGATTCCATACTCATTTTCACAGCCTTGTATGATTCCAGACTTTTTCCAAGATGCACTTGTCTGTCCTATGTAAGTTTTGTTTTGCATTTAATTGCTGTTTAATTTCTTAGAATTTGCATATTGCAACAAAGTTTTATTATCAGTTGATTTGTGTTATAAAGCATACATGAAACTGCAGTTATGACAAGAAAAATGCTAAAAGCAAAAAACATAAACAGCAATTCCAACTTTTTTCCAGAAGCAGCATAAATATTACTCTGTTTTATAAATTTTCTTCTTTATTCTTTTGCTAAATATTCTGAGAAGTAAATTAGAAACTTTTCAGAAACATTATTCATATTTTATATATATATTACATATTAAGTACCAATGTGTTAAAATAATTTTTAATATTTTTATTTCATTACAAATGTTAATTCATTAAAGAGGTAATTTAAAAAATTGATCAAACTACAGATGAACATGCTTTTGGCATAAATCTTTTTTTTTTTTTCTTTTTTCAGTTTTATGAATACTTAAAAATAATACTTATTTCAAATAATTTCTTAAATAATAAAACAAAAATATTGTAGTGTTCTAAATAACGCATCTTTTAAAAGTATTTCAAATGAAAATAGTTTTCAAAATAGCTTCCATTGCAAGAATATCTTAAACAAGTTGCAGAATAACTACCATTTTACACAGGTACCAATCTCACAGTCTGTAGTTTTAATTTAAAAATTTTTGGACTTTTGTTATCTTGATACTAACATTGAAAACATTTGTAGAGTATACCAGTATTTCAACTAAATATATGCATCAAAATCTTACAATAATAATCTTTAAATTTATTAATTAATCATAATGAATTCTTATAAGAATTAAAAAAAAAAGGAATACCTTTACATAAAAATCTGCACCGAAATCACTATTTCTGAACTATTCTAATATAAAAATAAACAAACTAATCTATATTCAATACCAGAATAGCATGACATCTAACAGATAAATTGTCATTCCAATTTAGTTTTAAGATTCCAATTCTTTTTTTAATACCTAAAAATAACTATCTTAATAAATCAAATATTTATCTATTCCACACCATATTTAACTTATATATTTTGGACTATATAAGAATCATCATGTAATGCAAACATCTCATTTTGAGATTTTCAAATATGAACTTTTTAAATTTTGATATACATTTTGAATAAGTGTAAATAGAGTTTTAAAAGTTTTCAATAGAAAATGAACTAATTTTGTAGGAATTTATTCAATTTAATGTTTAATGCTTCAATGATCAAAGAAAAAAACACAGTATCAATTCTTGAAACAACACCTGAGCTGTTATTTATGGAATATTTTATTGAATAAATTAATTATAGCTTAACAAGATGCACAAATTGTAAAGTGAAGTGCAAGTGAATAGTGATAAGTAACGAATGTGAGAAAATACACGAATAAAGAAAAGTATGCAGAGGATTTTCCTGTACACGAATTTGAATAATTGCGGAAGTTTATTAAGCGGTCCTTACTTTGAGGAATCGTCGCTGGAACTAGGCGACTGAATAACCTTTAAGGCGTCGAACGCTTTTATCAGTCTCTCCATGGTAGCCATGATTTATCAACAGTTTGTGTAATTTTTCCACCGAATCCTATGTATTTAACATGGTTCGAGCATCACACGTATCTCTTTACTCCATTTTTATACGAATGTTTTGGTTTCTTGATTATTACACGGATGGCGACAGATGTCGCTTTATAAATTTAAAAAGCTAAATTATCGAAATTTTATTTATTAAAAATTATACAAAAGCCTCAAACTTTCTGAAAATTATATTATTTTTAAGTGAAATTAAATAAGATAATATAAACAAGGGAAGTAATCAGAAATTTGTTAAATATTTTTTTTATAAAACGCGATTTTTATGTTTATTTTTAACTCTTTGCGCCCTGTGGGCCTCTTTTAGCAAGCCCTTTATGGGTTCGGCCAGGCCCACAATGGGGTGGCTGGTTGAAGAGGGACAGGGCCATCCCCGAAAATTTTCTGGGGATTTTTCGGCCCGTCTGCATCGATCCCGGTTCAGGGATCGATGCAGACGATGCAGACGTGTTCTACGTTACTGAACACGGCCCCCAGAGCAGGGCCGTGTTCAGTAATGTAGAACACCTAAGTTAGAATTCTGACTTGTGAGTGGCTTAGTGGGCGGAGCTAAGAATACATAAAAGAAGCTAGTGGTGTGAGGAGTCAAGCAGTAGTTAGAAACGAGTTCAACATTACGGCATAACTAGATTTAGCAAGAATTCTGCGTTACTGAACACAGCCCAGTACTCTACCATCTTGACCTCTCGGCCATTCGACCGTCAGGGCTTTTATACTTTTATTCTCGAGTGATTATGTTATGTTTCTGTTTTATTTTTGAAAATAAATTATAAACATTTAAATAAATTTGATTTTTGATTGGCATCTATATCGCATATCGCAGACTGCATAAAATTATAACGAGGAGGAACTTTGTTAAAAAAAAAAATGTGTTGATTATTTATTAAAATGTTAATATTTTCTTAATACAATATATGATAAATTCGATTTCAATAATTAGTTAAGAAACGTTTTAGAATATTTTTAATTGGCATACATGAACGAAAAACATAATAAAAAATTGTATGTATTATTTCTATATACAGTAATTCATAAATACATTAAATTTTCATTGCTTGAAATTTTATATTTTCAAATATTTTATTAAATATTTTTATTTTTAGCAAAATAATAAATTTGGTATTAATTAATATTTATAGCATTGCGTATTAATTAAGATATAGAATTTCGTATCCTATCAATTTTCATGAACTCACTCACAGAGGGCACTTTAGTATTAAAATATGGCGATCGTTTGTTAATATCTGTAGTGATATATCGAGTAATATATATGTAAAATGGCTTTCTTCTCGTCCTTCCGGAGGTGTGCGATAGATAGTGTAAAGTCGTGTATGGTATGTGGTGTAAACTTTATAAATTTTCCAGTTATTTTGAACATATAATTATTCTGATATTAATAAATTTCAGAGTGAATACTGTTTCATCTCACCATTTATGTTAACATTAACCTTTATGCAGGTTTTAGTTTCTTATGCTTAAAATTATAATTACAATTGATAAACAGTTCGTAGTAAATAGTGATTATAATTAAACAGGACGTGTTTAGAGCACTGTAGAAAGAACTATTGGATCAAATGCAACTAAATTTGGTGTCCATACTTACTGATTATAAAAGATTTAGTGCTAAAATTTTCCGATAGGGAGAAACTTGGCGCTAATGTCGTTGCAATTTGCTTACTGGATATGTGAGAAAAATATACCTGATAGTAAAGTTTAACAAGTAATATCTGATTGCGTAGTACTCATTAAACTTCACTATCAAAGAAGAAGCATTGATGCTAATGCTGCGCATAAGAAATTCTAAGTTTTAAGTCCTTGCAAAAAGTTCCTCTGACTATTATTAATCTCTGGAAAATGATTTGCATTTTGAAGAAATGAAAGACTAGACTTCATTGTGAATGCAGGAAGGAGCTATGAATCAGTGAAGGTAGTGAAAATGAAGGAAGTTGCTTGTCTTATCGATCCCGATCGATCCTTAAATGGAGAATTTTTGAGGTGGCTCTAGGGCAAGTGAAATATCACAACAATTTGATATGCTCTATTCTAGCATGGAAAATTTTAGACTGCAATATTAATTGCAGTTTCACCTTACAGAATATCAATACTGGTGATTATTATTGAATGGAAATTATTTGCCATGTCATTCATAGCTCAGATGATGATTGATGATTTATGATCCTGGCAATTTCTGTTGACTAATAAAGCCCCTTTTACTTGAAAGGTATGATGAGCACTTGACTGCTATGTTTCATTTGGAGAAAGCCCGTACATTTATCAACAAAATTCCCTTGTATTCACAAAAATCTGTGGTGAAAGTTTAAGTATTCATCATTGGACCATATTTTTGAAGAAAACATTGTGTCTAGGCCCTGACACATTTTGTCATTCCTACATTTCAGCAATTAAACTGTTTGGATACCAGTCTTTATATAAGATGGAGCATCTCCTTCATATCAGCATCAATGTGCAAGTTATTGCATCAACACTTCATGCATGAAAAAGTGATTAGCTGGTGTTTTCCAACAGCATAACTATCACAGTTATCAAACTTGGTCCTTTGATTTTTTTGTGAGAATGTGCAAAGTCCCCCCTATGCTTCTGCACCACGGTGATGACTAAGTTGTCAAGACTGAGATCACTGTATCCTTAGGACAGACACAGAAACCTTGATGGCTGTTAAGTTTGTTTTATGCGAGCAGTCACGTATGTAGGCGCTCGGATTCAGGATGGAGATGGTCTGAGTGACAGTGTCCAAAAGAAGTGCACACTACAACTCAATTACAAAAAAGTAATACAGTAGATCCCCTATAAGACTGGTTCCTATAATTACGATTCCTATAAGACGGCAAAAAAATTGTGGCGGTATCCGTACACAATGGTAAAAATCTCCTATAATTACGTAAAACGTCATCAGGCAGCCGAACTACTTTTCTGCCGTCCGTAGCGTGGCGCTACGGATGTTTAGGCGGGCCAGAATAGCATGACATCTAACAGATAAATTGTCATTCCAATTTAGTTTTAAGATTCCAATTCTTTTTTTAATACCTAAAAATAACTATCTTAATNTTCATTCTTGCTTTTAATAGAATTATTATATTACTTTCCCAGCTGTTATAACAGAAGGAAAGTATGGCAATCTGGCAAAAAAAAAGATCCCAGATTTTTACATTTTTGGACTTAGGATTTAGACAAGGTTTCATCTTTATTTGAATCACTGCATGCGATTATAACTGTAAGACATGGTTCTTATGAAATAAACACAAAAGAAACCGAGTCAGGAGTAATTCTACATTAGATATTCTTTCTACTCCAGAGATTTTCTTATGTACAGTACAGTACTTTCTGATTTGATAGAACCAATTTTTGGGTGTTTTATTTATTTACTTTTTTAAGTTTTTCTTACTTGTTCACTTTATAATCGATAATAAACAGCTTTAATTTTGCTATAGCATATCATGTAGCTTCAATCATATACCAAATAACTAAATATATATCAGCAAAAAGCTTGATATATAATTTAAGCATTTTTAGTTTCTTCTTGTAAAGAGGAAAACATTAATTTTAAACCACTGTTTTAGGATTCTCTTCTAGTTTTTTGATTTTAAATTATCGTTGATTTTTGTAAATCATTCAGCATTACATAATGCACATTTCGGAAATATTTTGTAAAGGATTGTTCTTAGACAAATGATTTTTTTTTTTACAGAGACCATCACTGGTTGAAATATGAAATTTGTTCTTGAGTTATTGAGACAATTTATATACAGGTATTCCTTGATTAACGTGCAAAATTAATTGAGGCAATCCCTTTGTTTATGCAGCAGAAGTTTTAATTAACATAGTTTTACCAATTATCTTTACTTAACATAGATACCATATTTGATTAACACAATTTTGATGTATGCAGTAACATTGAGGGATTAATTAACTGTGTTAATCAAGGGATACCTGTATACAGTAATCAAAATGTTCCATGCATTCATTTAAATAACACATACAATTAAAATCTATGAATTTATAAGAAAGTTTTAAATTAAAAAGAAAGCTTTATTTTCTTTGGAACAGATATGCGCTTTTATAAAAGTTTTAATTAATGTGTGTTTAAATTTTAAGTTATGTTGTAATGTTTTAAGATTTATTTATGAATTTTGTTGAAGTATCTATCAAATATTAATATTAAAATAGATAACTTTTAAGAAGAAAAAAATTGGAGTTTAACTTTAAATTATTATTTTTAATTTTGTTATTTTGAATTTTTATAAATTTCTGTATTTTAGACGGCCTCTAGATTTGTCTGGATGTTAGAGATTTCGATAGTTCGATGTAAGATCCTTGAAGGGCAAGGTAGGAAGATGGCAGGTTGACCTAGGTGGCAATGATGCTTAGTAGGGGAGGTTAATTCAGGATGGGAGTGAACACTTAATATTGACAAACTCTTGATTGTCATTGAACCCATTATTTTATTCTGGGATCTTTTTTGGTAAATTGTAAAGTCCACGTTCAATAGTAAATTTTTGTTTGTTTGTTTGTTCCCGGTGATATCCAGATGTGTCACCTCTGGACAAGGAAGCAAGTCCATAGGAAAAGATATAATCACATCCTTTTTGGTTTCCCTCCTCTTTTGGGCTTTCTCATTTTTATGGGATACTTGAAGAGCCTTATTTATCAGGACAATATTATGAATATTTTTCAGTTCTGAGCACTCCAAGATTGTTCCACAAAACTAAAATGTTCAAGAACTGTTCATATTTGGAACCATACTAACAAATGAGCTTCTTGCAATCAGTACGTTGCTTTACTCGGTCAGTTTTTTTAATACTTTAACTAAAGTACTAAATTTAAATATTATGCAACTGCTTAGATTATTTTTGTAATTTCTTTATGATTTTATAATTTCTTTTTATTATTTTGATACTTTTTTGTTACAACTGATAATTTTGATTTTTTTATAAATTTTTTTATTGCCTACTATTGGAATATATATATATATTTTTCCTTTTTTGTTCAATATTAAATAATTTAATATGGCGATCGTTTGTTAATATCTGTAGTGATATATCGAGTAATATATATGTAAAATGGCTTTCTTCTCGTCCTTCCGGAGGTGTGCGATAGATAGTGTAAAGTCGTGTATGGTATGTAGTGTAAACTTTATAAATTTTCCAGTTATTTTGAACATATAATTATTCTGATATTAATAAATTTCAGAGTGAATACTGTTTCATCTCACCATTTATGTTAACATTAACCTTTATGCAGGTTTTAGTTTCTTATGCTTAAAATTATAATTACAATTGATAAACAGTTCGTAGTAAATAGTGATTATAATTAAACAGGACGTGTTTAGAGCACTGTAGAAAGAACTATTGGATCAAATGCAACTAAATTTGGTGTCCATACTTACTGATTATAAAAGATTTAGTGCTAAAATTTTCCGATAGGGAGAAACTTGGCGCTAATGTCGTTGCAATTTGCTTACTGGATATGTGAGAAAAATATACCTGATAGTAAAGTTTAACAAGTAATATCTGATTGCGTAGTACTCATTAAACTTCACTATCAAAGAAGAAGCATTGATGCTAATGCTGCGCATAAGAAATTCTAAGTTTTAAGTCCTTGCAAAAAGTTCCTCTGACTATTATTAATCTCTGGAAAATGATTTGCATTTTGAAGAAATGAAAGACTAGACTTCATTGTGAATGCAGGAAGGAGCTATGAATCAGTGAAGGTAGTGAAAATGAAGGAAGTTGCTTGTCTTATNACAGCACTAGCAAAAATTTAAATTTGCTGACTGGAATTCTTTCGGATAATCGACGCTCTGCTGTATTCCACTTTTGTCTTCTAACTGGTCAGAAACTAGCCTTCAATTTCACTCACTATTAAAGGTGCTTTGATTGATTGATTCAGCAGATTAACTATAGTGACTAGTTCATTCTTGCTTTTAATAGAATTATTATATTACTTTCCCAGCTGTTATAACAGAAGGAAAGTATGGCAATCTGGCAAAAAAAAAGATCCCAGATTTTTACATTTTTGGACTTAGGATTTAGACAAGGTTTCATCTTTATTTGAATCACTGCATGCGATTATAACTGTAAGACATGGTTCTTATGAAATAAACACAAAAGAAACCGAGTCAGGAGTAATTCTACATTAGATATTCTTTCTACTCCAGAGATTTTCTTATGTACAGTACAGTACTTTCTGATTTGATAGAACCAATTTTTGGGTGTTTTATTTATTTACTTTTTTAAGTTTTTCTTACTTGTTCACTTTATAATCGATAATAAACAGCTTTAATTTTGCTATAGCATATCATGTAGCTTCAATCATATACCAAATAACTAAATATATATCAGCAAAAAGCTTGATATATAATTTAAGCATTTTTAGTTTCTTCTTGTAAAGAGGAAAACATTAATTTTAAACCACTGTTTTAGGATTCTCTTCTAGTTTTTTGATTTTAAATTATCGTTGATTTTTGTAAATCATTCAGCATTACATAATGCAAATTTCGGAAATATTTTGTAAAGGATTGTTCTTAGACAAATGATTTTTTTTTTTACAGAGACCATCACTGGTTGAAATATGAAATTTGTTCTTGAGTTATTGAGACAATTTATATACAGGTATTCCTTGATTAACGTGCAAAATTAATTGAGGCAATCCCTTTGTTTATGCAGCAGAAGTTTTAATTAACATGGTTTTACCAATTATCTTTACTTAACATAGATACCATATTTGATTAACACAATTTTGATGTATGCAGTAACATTGAGGGATTAATTAACTGTGTTAATCAAGGGATACCTGTATACAGTAATCAAAATGTTCCATGCATTCATTTAAATAACACATACAATTAAAATCTATGAATTTATAAGAAAGTTTTAAATTAAAAAGAAAGCTTTATTTTCTTTGGAACAGATATGCGCTTTTATAAAAGTTTTAATTAATGTGTGTTTAAATTTTAAGTTATGTTGTAATGTTTTAAGATTTATTTATGAATTTTGTTGAAGTATCTATCAAATATTAATATTAAAATAGATAACTTTTAAGAAGAAAAAAATTGGAGTTTAACTTTAAATTATTATTTTTAATTTTGTTATTTTGAATTTTTATAAATTTCTGTATTTTATGCATGTCATGTGCATTTATGCATATCATAGTTTTTACCCTTGTATTATGGTAATAGTTGTAAATATTGAATTATTTATATATTTCTGAAAGGACTCTGTTGGAATTTTTATTGCATTTGGAGGATTATGTATATTTCATAAAGGCTGTGTATAAAGTTAAATTAGTCAAAAACGAATTTTTTTTAATGGTTGTTAATTATGTAGTTCTGGGAAAAGGTTTCTTTTCAAACTAACTATTATTTATAACTCACCAGAGACAATGCCAAGATAATTAAAAGTATATGACTAGAATCATCATTGATTTATTGCATTCATAAAGATTTTAGAATTAGTTTTTCTTTCAGAATTTTTAAAGATACTGAATGGATACTGAATATATGAATTATATACAAGCATGTTATTATAATAATCATTAATATAAATTTTCAATTAAAGCAATTAAAAATTAACACACATTTTTTTATGTTGCATTTATGACTCCTAAAAAGTTTAAAAAACTTTTAATTATGTAAGTTACCAGCAAAAGTACCTTGCAACTAATGAACAGTGCTATTCAATAAGGAATTTGCTTTTAGATTCTAACTTAATACACTTGGTTTACATAAAAAATGAAATACAGTAGAGCCTCGATTATCCAACCCCCGATTAACCGACATTTCAGTTAACCGACCGTCCTAGTCGGCAAATTTCAAATGTCCGCTAATGATGTGGCACTACAATATTTGGCTATGTCTTGGCTACTTTAATATTATTTTTACGTGTTTTAGCTGGCAACACTCATTTGACCATGAAAGGGAGCCAGTATTTAAACGAGGCTTAATTTTCTAATTTTTAACGCTACAATAGCGACGATTATTATTTAAAAAAATTTTTGTTAGGCTTAACATCAATGAAAATTCAACGCAAAGTAGGTTAATAGCGATATACAGGTAACCCCCGTATAACACGGTAGTTACGTTCCAAAAAATTGCCGTGTTATGCGAATCCGTGCTATACGAAACAAAGAACTAATACGAAAAGGAGGGTTAGGTTCCAAAAATTAAAAAACATGCTAGTATATTTTCATAATTAAGATAAATATCTTCATAAAAATTTTTTAAGTGATACATGTTAATATAAATTAAACAATGTTTTCTTCGTCATCACTAAAAACACTATTAATTAACCGAGAGCGTTTTCTTTTTGGCAAGTTATCCTTATCCTGTGAGCATTTTTCTGCATTATTTTCAGATCCATGCTTTACCTTTTGCAAAAAGTATGTAATTTTAGATTGCTTGCTTCTAGTTAAAAGGTCCTTATAAATTTCCTTATATGGTGCTAAGCACTTATGAAGAATAAAGCAAGTATGGAATAAGGGGAAGACATTCGGCAACATCAGAAGCAGAAGCGTCGCGATCTGGCAACATTGAAACAAGTTTCGAGAAGGACCACGTGTATCGACAGAAGGCGAGAAGAGAAAATTTACATACTTAAGTACTAATAGTTCACGAAAATAATAATTTTCGTGAACTATTAGTACTTAAGTATGTAAAAATTTATTACATTTCATGTTGTACGAGGGTTTTACCCAATTCTCGAACCGTGTCAGAGTGAATCCGTGCTATAAAAGTACCGTGTTATACGGGGGATGGTACCAATTCTCGAACCGTGTTAGAGCGAATCCGTGTTATAGAAGTGCCGTGTTATACGGGGGTTACCTGTACTAATTACATGGGATATAATAATATACTACACTAATAATGGATTTTTTCATACTTTTTGGTTATCCGACTTTTCAATTATCCAACCAACCCCAGTCCCCAATTGAGTCAGATAATCGAGGCTCTACTGTATTGGAAAAGTATCAGTGTATCAGAATAAATTATCAATAATGTATGTTTCTCATATTATTAGTTACAGTAAAGAACTTGATTACATATAAATTTTTAATTATAAAAATTGTGTTAAGATATATTTTTTTACATTATTGTTAATGTTAACACGAGTACTTTTGAAATTCCAAAAATATGATTTTTATAGTTTTCACGTAAAATAATTTTAGAAGTTTGTACTTGAAGAAGAAAATTTTCTTTGCTAATGAAGAAAATGTGATTTACTGTATGTTTAAAGAAAAATATCATATATTGTTTCATTAAAAATTTATGTATGTACTGTAAATAAACTTGTCAGATGTAATCATAATCTTATTTCGTCCACTAGTACGTATCTATTAACAGGACTTATTAAACTGGCTTTAGGGATACTGCAACTCAGTTTCATAGATTAGAAAGTTATTTTATTTAATTTACCTGTAAATTAAATTAAATAATTCTAATCTGTGAAACTGAGTTGCAGTATCCCTAAAGCCAGTTTAATAAGTCCTGTTAATAGATACGTACTAGTGGACGAAATAAGATTATGATTACATCTGACAAGTTTATTTACAGTACATACATAAATTTTTAATGAAACAATATATGATATTTTTCTTTAAACATACAGTAAANATATATACGATTAAATAAATCAAAGACAAGTCTGTCCAAGAGGGATCATCATTTATTTTGCATTTCAGACTACACATACACTTAATGTGTATGTGTAGTCTGAAATGCAAAATAAATGATGATCCCTCTTGGACAGACTTGTCTTTGATTTATTTAATCTAATTTATAAATTATTTGATCCTCCATCAAACATTTTATAACAAATTAGATATTTGTATTGTTATTTGTTTGTTGTAAAAAAATAATAAATTAAAAATAAAATAAAGTTTAATATTAAAAACTTTTACTATTATATTTAATGTTTTATTAATAAAACTAGTAACAACATTTAAATATAAGTCATGCTACTAAAAAAAATTTTCCTTTTACTTAGTATATATTCTTTTATCCTGATAAACATGTAAATATTTTTAGAGAATAGCTGCTTGTGATTTGAGAGCTATTTCCCAAGCAAGTCATCCTTTACAACAGAATAATCAAGATGTAAGTTATTTTAATCATATTCCTATATTCTATAAATTTAATTAATAAATGGAGCATTTTTGTCTTTAATTAATTTTAATATTTAAGAAAGCAATAAAATAGTATGAATTTCAGTAGAGCATCAAATACTCAAAATAATTTCAGTTAACAGTTTCAGATAACCAATCACACTTGGTAAAGAAAGAACAGATAAACATTTAAATAAAATAAAAGTATTAATTTTTAATTCTAATATAATAATAAAAGAATTTAAAGGCATACAAATTTGCTAAATATGAATGATATACAATTTTCTTCGCTATTTCTTAATTTATTAAAGCAAGCACTTAATCTTTCATTGCAATCTATAATGTACTGATGAAACTTTGAACTCATAGTAAAAAAATACATAATAGTAAGATTTAATATTAATTTTTATGTGAGTACTATACTTTTTTTTGGGTCACTTATTTTGCTTTATGTAGTTTTTTTTTAAACTCTGCTAAATTCCTGACTTGCTTGATCATCATGAGAAATTGAAAAATCTGCAAAAGATTGCATTTCTAACCATCATTCATTGCTTTTCTAATGCTTCAAATGCTTCATTGTGTCTATGCACAGTGAAGCATTTGATGCATTAGAAGCCTGTGACTCATTAATCATGTTTTTCTATCTGTATTGTAATAAGTAAAACCAACACTAGTGTTGATGATGAACTGGTTCAATAGCAGGCTTCTGGAAGATCACTGACAGTCACTAGTTACTATTACATAAAATTTTGTAATTTTTGGAATTAGTATTCTCTGAAATCAGTTTCAGTTAAGTGATTTTTTCAGATAATTGATTTTTAGATAATCAATGCTTTACTGTATAAGATAAGATATTATTGTTTTTATTTTTTACTTATTTACTTCATCACACATTACAGAATAAAATTAAATAATATTTTGTAAAACTATACATCTGTAATAAAATAAAGTTACAATACCTATGCATTTATTTTTGCCAGATGATATTTTCATAATTCTGTGTTTAGACATTATTATTATTATTATGGAAATGTTACCATTTGAAAGCTGTATTTTTACACCATTTAGGATTTATATAATGTATTTCAGTTTGATATTTGTTTTTCATTTGATATTTTTGTAGGAAAAATTTGTCAAACAATAATATTTTTAACAAAACAAATGTATGGGAAAAATCTTGAGTTACATTCTGAATACAATTGACAGAACATCAGAATTGTATGTAGATGTTTTAAACTCCCCAAGTGTCAACAAATGAGATATACATCTTAGATGATGATGGTGTTGCAAGAAGCATCATAGCAATATATTGATATCTCCTGTAATGAAAAGCTCAAAAGCACTTTCATGATGTCATTAATAGTAATCAACAATTCTATAATTTACAGAAATGCTACAGACATTTTTAAAAATGTATTGAAATTTATTCTTTGTGTGTTACTGCAAATTTTCATCCTGTATTTTTTTCAAACAAAAATTCTTATTTATTCTTAAGCTTTTGTGTCCTTATTATACAATTTTATTATTTAAATGTCTATTAGGACTTATTATAGGTATAGGTTTTGCAGGACTTGGACACCAGTATAATAAGTCCTAATAATATGATCTGTCCTAGTACGGCTAATAGATATTTAAATAGTAAAAATTCTTATTGTTGTGTGCTATACTGTATTGTAAACATAATCTTTATGGACTGTATAAGTTACTACTTACAAAACAACTATATATTAACAACTAGCTTACCTGTCGTGCATTGCTGCGATCTCAGAAGAAACAAAATTCAAGAAAACTCGTTATGATAAAATTAAATTTACATTTTATCATTTTTATTGAAACTTATTATTGTTGTTATTCATTTTCATTGGGAAAACATTTCAAAGTGTCATTTCAATTCTATTTATTTATTGGAGTGTTTGTGGATACACAATATTTTTTGTTTTTCCGTCTGGTGCGTACACGAATAAATCAGACGGTTTCNCACACACACACACACACACACACACACACACACACACACACACACACACATTCATTTTTATATATATAGATGATACTGTTTGTTGATCAGAAATGATATTTAATCATTTTACATTCTAATATTATAATTTGTCACTTTTCCTTTGTCTTTTTTGGATTTGTTACATATATAGGCATATTTATTGTGTTTCAGTTACATTTTAACAAAACTGTTTTAAAGTATATGGATTAGCATTGTAACACATTATATAATTTTTCCCATTTTAAAATAACGAGAAATAGTTTTTTGATTAATGTTTTCACATACTTGTAGAACATTGATTTTCAGGAACAGATTACTGATGTTAAATGGGGGATACCTATATATATTTTTTTTAACAATAGTTTTCTCCGATATTACATAATTATAATATTATAATTTTATTTGAAAATAAATAATATTAGATATAGTAAGTATTATTTTTAATAAAAACATTAAATTACTTTCTTGATATAGCTTGTTTCCAAATCTGAAGAAAAAGTGAGATGTACTCTTATTCCTGGTGATGGAGTTGGTCCAGAAATATGTAATTCAGTAAAAGAAATATTTAAACATCTTGGTGTTCCTGTAGAATTTGAAGAACTGTTTGTGAGGTAACTAGATGCTAAAATACATAGAACAAATTTTGATTAAATTCTATATAATGAATGAATAATAATTTATTTTTGAAATATATCACTAGCAATGGTACAGGTTAGAAATAGAGTTAAATACAGTAGAGCATCATTTATCTGAATCAATTGGGGACTGAGGGTGTTCGGATAACTTATTTTTTGGATAACCAATTATGTACGAAAAAATATATTAACCTATCCCGTGTTGAAAATTTTCTCTGTTGCGTTTCGCTTCGCGTTGAATTTTCGTCGATGCTAAGCCTAACGTAAACTTTTTAAAATAATAATCGTGGCTATTGTATTGTTATAAATTATTTCTTTATTTTTTACAAACAAAATAAATATATTGAAAAATATAAAAACAAAAAAAATTATACTTTAGAAGTTAATCTAGTATCAAAAACATTCAATTCAGCACAACACAGTCCACAGAAAAACACTACACAAAAGTGCCAATGCTACCAGCTAAAACACACACACCAACAAAAAAAATATTGGAGTAGCCCAAGATATAGCCAAAGATTGCAGCGCCACAGCACTAACAAAAATTTAAATTTACCGACTGAAATTCTTTTGGTTAACCGACATTTCAGATAACTGGCTTTCGGATAAACGACGCTCTACTGTAGTTGAATTTTGAAAATACAGTAAGACAACAAAGTGCTAAGCGAAACAGTGTTAAATGAGGTCATTTTAACATAGAGCAAATAGGGATAGGGAAAACGTGACCAAAAATAAACCAATTTTACTTTAATTTTAAGTTATTTTTATATTAATTTGTATAATAATATATGTTAAATAATACACAAACATATGCACACAGAAATGTAAAGTTAATTTTTTTTTGTGACGAAGGTCCTGACTTTTCTGAAATTCTTGTTCTTTTGCAATAAAGTCGTGAAGTTTCATTTGTCGCTTTTTTCTTTCCTTAAGCAAATGTCGGTAGCAGAAGATTGCATCCAAAACACTTCTTTTTGCTTTTGCACTCCTTTCAAAATCTGGATCATTCACTACAATTTGATCAACAATTTCGGTTATCTTACCAAACTTTTACTAAGGAAATCTGTAGAGAAATTTTTTGGGTTCTTTGTTTTCAGAATCTCTATTTTCCAGTTTCACATGAATTCCATGTTCTGCCAGTTCTTGAAGGTTATCATTGATAAGACTCTCACCAAAAACCTGTGGTAACTCCTCAATATCTTGTTCTTCTACATCTCCTAGTCCTGCTGTATCAATTAGGTTGAGTTTGGTCAACCTAACAACAATGTTCCCTCTAATTTTTTTTTTTGTAGATGAGCAGAACATACACTTCTCTGAACAAAAAAATTTTTGCTGAACAGAATCTGAGCAAAAAAATATATATATATTTTAATTTTTATATATAAAATCTTATTTTTTCCTATAAAAATTAAAATAATTAATTATTAAATAGAGATTAAAACTCATTTTAAAACATACTTTTATACAAAATATTATCTTTTGTCAATGATTTCATGTTTTTAATCGAAATATATGCAGCAATAATCATGTTGCAGACAGAGTGAGAAATAAGTAAACAGCAATTCAAATTGGTGGGCATGCTCGCCTGTGTGGCACATAAGTTCTTGTGCACTGCAACAATTTGAGCAGTGTGCGGCAGCTTAGCTTAGAGGGAACATTGCCTAACAATACAGTGATAGGCTCTTCTCGTTAAGAATTCTTGGATACCTTCAGCCACAACTTCTGCACTTCATTCAGGCATTTACCAGTTAATTCTTGCCAAGTGAAGTTGATATTTCCTATGGTATCCATGGTGTTATATTTTTTCCAAAATTGCACCAAACAAACATAAATTTAAAGAAAGTACACCTTTTTGCCACCTTTTGCTGATTTGTTTGTGTTTGCAAATGATCGTATTATATATGAATCAATAAAATGTCGCGCTAATTTAAATCAGCGTAAATTTTTAGAGTTTTTTAGGCTTTGAGCAGACCGCATTATATCGAATTAGCATTAAGCGGGGTCTTACTGTATATGTTAAATGCAAATTAAATTAATTGATAAGTTCTCAAATTTTTTATTATTGTGCTCCTTTGAATTTTTGACTCTCACAAAACCTTTATGCTATTAAAATTCCTGACTTTGCTGAAATTCTTGTTCTTTTGCAATAAAGTTGTGAAGTTTCATTTGTCACTTTTTTCTTTCCTTAAGCAAATGTCAGTAGCAGAAGATCACATCCAAAACACTTCTTTTCACTTTTGTACTCCTTTCAAAATCTGGATCATTTGCTACAATTTGATCAACAATTTCGGTTATCATTACCAAGTCTAGAATAAAACCTTTATTTTTGATTTTATTTTAATTACCTTTTAATTACATTTGTGTATGAGTATATATGTATTTATATATATATATATAATATTACACAGCTAAACAGAATTAAAAATATCACTATCTTTGGAATACAAAAAGAAATTGGTTGAAGATCTTATCAAAAGATTTAAGGAAGTCAATGGAGGAATTAAAACAAAAAGCAATAAAATATCTATATTCACATATAATAAAACTTTAAAGAGTGTCACTAATGAGATTGTGAATCATAAAGAAACAAAACTTGTATTCAAAAGAGTGCCCACCATTTACAGACTTCTTAGAAATGACAAAGAAAAAACAAAAAAAAAAAAAAGAAGCACAAATAGGTGTCTATAGAATTCTGTATGAAAGAAAACAAGAGAAATGGCATTGCACTCAAGGGAAGTCTTTAAACACCATTCAATACTGTATCTGGAGAATTGATGTCACTTAATTTGAAACTTAGTTGGGGTCAAAAAAGATAACTTGAAGTAAATTGTAAAGCACATAAATACATCATCAAATAAAGACAGTGTTGCAAGGTGTTGTTCACCATGGTGCAAGTGGAATACTCAATTGTAAAATGGGAAGATGTTGACATCATAAAACCAGTGTATTCACCATTAAGGATGCACCAATTAATCGGTAAGTAATCGGTAATCGGCCGTATCGGCCACTTAGCCGATTAATCGGTATCGTCCATTCCCCCCTGATTAATCGGTTTCGATAATCAGCCAATTTTACATTTTGGTATTTTTGTTAGAATGTTACGTACAATGCTAGTAATAAAAACTAATAAATTTCTGTTATACATTTATTATTTATTACATGACAATCTGAATATTAAAAAAAAATTACTAATCAAATTATTCCTTTTATCGATACATATTATAAGTATAATACAATGTATAATATAAAGTTTAAACTTTACATAAGAAAAAGTATTGAATAGGTTAAGAAGAAAAATTAAATTTTTATTTGTTTTATAAGTTTAAAGTTTAAACATATAAAACAAATAAAAATTTAATATTTAAACTGTAAAACCCTTAAATT